GGCCCCAAACTCACCCTGTAGGACCCACTTGGGGCCRCCCCCATAAACCTGGTGCATCCTCCTGCGTGTGTTTTGGGTCACAGGGACGTGTTCTTGGGTAACACCATGTGGGTGAGGTCTGGGGTTGTTCTSTCTTTGGCCTGAGCAAAGATTTCTGTCAGGGCAGGATTTCAGTGCCAGGATTTCACCTGGGCAGCCCATCCTGAGCACCCAGAATTATGGTGCACAGTCTGAATCAAAATTAATCATCATTTGCATGGTTTAATTGAAGAATGTGCCCCATTTCTTACATCATCTACCGTGGCTTATCACTCTCACCACAATGAAGAACAGGATTGTTGCCCCACCCCCACAGAATGTATTTGAAGAATGTGGTGAAAAAAAAAATACAAAGAATATGTAACTTTCTCTGGAAATGGGATATTTCATGAGGGAAATTTGAAGGATAAAGTAACCGAATTCCAGGCAAACAGGCATCAGTATTGTTAGGAAATACAGCTCTCTGCAGGGCAAAAAAGAGTGGTATGCCAGGTTTAAATAGGAATTTATAACCACTGACTGCAAATTACCTTATAAAATTACTGAAACCTTCACGAAGTCATCAATTAGGCGTTTAGTCTTGATTGTCATTTATTGCRCTTCTTAATTGTTCAGTAAACTTTTCTGGATTAAAGAGTGTGTTTCAAATTGACACAAAGCTGTTTTATTGATGCAGATTAAGAGAGGATTTTACATGAAGGGACAACTGGGGGACCAGCAGCACAAGAGTCTCTTATCCTCTAGTAAAGGCAGACTCAAGCTGGTGTTGTGATTTCAAGTCAGTGGGGTTGTATGGAATGATGAGCATGTGAGCAATAGTTACAAATCCCTAAAATCAGGATTGTTATCAGTATGGACAGCGCAGGCAGAATACAGAATTTTAATCACTGTTTTCAAAACAAGAGGAGRAACGGCAGAGAAGGAAAACATTGACAAATCTGGTGGGTTTACACTGAGTCCACATTAGTCTTTTCCGACACAGAACATGTTTTCACTGTTGTTTTTTTCACTTATTAACATTTCATTTATTGGCATTTCCTTGGGCTCACGAGGAGCTGTTCCACCTTCCACCCAACGCTACACCTGTACCACTACCACAACACCAAGCAGTGACTCCATTTCTCCTAAAAGGTGCTGGACTTCATGGGATCCACAGCCCAGAACACCCAAATCACCTTTTTTTTCAAGCTGCTCCCAGCTCTTTGGGTTTCATTCCGTGCTCCTCTGTGGAGGCAGYGTGATTCCAATCATACCATTGCTGATTGCATAAAATATGCCCTGAATCCAACACRTTGCGTTAAAATCTGGTGTCTGGGCCCTGTCTGATTCTGAGCAGAGTAGCTGTTGGATTCTGTTCCAGCCATCCTCAAGCCAAGCCAAGTTGGGAGAGATTTGATTGGGATATCGGTGAGGGGTAAAGACCATGAAACCTCCGCTGTGATTGATGGGGTTGTGCACAGTGAAGACAAATATGCACAAATACTTACCCAGAATAGTARGGCCTCAATTCAGCTGGATCTGGCAGACTTCTCAGCTCAGCTTTCAAGAAATATTGTTTTTAATTGACCTTCGTGTGAGTAATTTGAAGAGCCAGCGCCGCTTTCCGCGAGGAGAGTTTCGAGCGCRGAAACTCCCATCGTATGTAAAATTAGTAATTTTACTGTATCATGAGTGATTAAACCTGACCCCCAGGGAGCCAAAAATAATGCTGTGTGACTTCCTTGGCCAATTAACACAGAACAAATGTGAAAATGTGTACATTACGGCAAATTGTGTGCTAATTGGCCTCAGAGAAATACTAACAACGARGAAGAAATGGGCATGTAATTTCAAACATATTTGAGAGGTTTCRCAGTCTGCTTGCAAATAGGAGGGGGAAAACGTCGAAATTTGACAAAACCATTATTTGTTATGATTTATTCACTCAGCTCTAGTCTTGAACCTGGGAGTTATTGGCAGCTTCAGCTAAGATTCCTGCTGAGTATTTCTCCTTATAATGACTGCATACGGCATTTAGCTCAATGCTATTTTTTGGCATGGTGTCATAAATATCTATTTTAATTCTTGCCTCTCTATGCGTATCTAGGGTTAGGTGGGGTTTTTTTTTTTTTCCCCCTTTTTCTCGTGAAAATACCTCTAAGTGCAAGACAATTTCCTTTTCCTTTTCCTGAGGAGAATATTCCACCCAAGTGCAGCAGTGGGATTATTCTCCTTGGGCAGGAACCCTCTGCCAGGTCTGCACATCACTTAGTGCTGGCTTAAGCAGAGAATAAATGTCCATCTGTGCAGGGGAGAATTTCATCTGGTCAGGGAAGTTAGATCTGACACACAGACTTAAGGMATCCAAGATTTACTCACTCTTCCTAAAATCAGATCTCTTCCACTTCATTTTCTATCTCATTTAGACTTTACCTATCCCTATTTCATTGTGCTTTCACWAAGTTTTAGGAATAAAACTGATTGAAGGTGTAACTTGTGGGCTGGAGGTAAATCCCATCTTTTCGTATGTCCTTCTGTCTTCTGTAAGTACAGAAAGCAGATCTCTGGGCTGTTCCTCTGCAGCAAGAATATCCCAGAATTTGGTACTGAGCTGCAGGCTGATGCACTGAASTGTGTTTTGGTCACAGTGAAGCCCWTYTGTAAGAGATAGAAGGTCAAAKAWGTCCGAAATGAAATAATGTGGTGCCATCARATTGAGGTGTTTCATTAATTTTCTTTGATTATTTCAGCCAAATCATAATGTCCCTAAGAAACACCATGATTTCACAGAATTTTTCCACTGGAAAAACTGGAACCGGATTATTTTAAGAGCCTGCTTTTCCAGGCTCTACAAAAACAATGTTCCCGRGGACCTTTTAGAAGTTGTCAAGTGGAGAAAGTGTCCTGGCAGCAGCATTCCTTCTGGTTCAGCTCTTGCTGAAGCTGAACAGGTTCACTTTAAACTTCTGAATTTTTTTGGTTGATTTGCACTGTCCTCTACGTGTTAAATTAGAACAGTGCAGTGCAGYGCTTAGCCCTGATCTTAAACCGTTCCTGCCAAGCCAGCACGGAGAGAGAAGTGTCTTTTTCACATCCCTGCGAATCCTTCAGGACRTTTATAGGAGTTTGTACCTTTTATTTCCCAGTTAAAGATTTCCCCTGGGTTSTTGAGAAGCTTAATGGTTCGGAGGTTTTGAATTATAAACTTTGTGGATGCTGCCAGTGTTTTGTCTGTGTTGTAAGAAGAGCTGTGATGGAGGGAAGGGCTGGAGGACAGAGAGGGGATGCTTGGCTGTGGCTCTCGTTGAATCCTGGTGGGAATTTATTTATGGATAAACCCAGCATGGCTGAAAATACCAACTGTGTGTTGTGGGAATTTGAAGAAACTTGAAAATAACATCTTTCAAAAGACTTGTGAGCATGCAGCAACTCTTTCTCATTGGAAAAATTGGATTTCACTGATGTTGTGATGTGTATTTTAAGTGTAWGCTGTCAGAACTAAGTGGTGCTAACAGGGGAATCTGCAGAAGCAGAAAGATGCCAGTCCCAGGAAAACWCCTGTGTGTGATTCCTGTTAAAAAAATTGTGGGAAAATACGATGTGACAGTCATCAGTTTAGAGATGGAAGAAGAGGATGATGTGGGTGRTTGGGTTTGGGACCGAGTTTGGTGWGATTTRACTGGGTTATACTGGATTTCTTCAGAGGGGTGCAGTGGCCTGGACACTCCGTGAGCGCCACTGCCAAGTCATTTCCACTGATTAAGGACTTAGAAAAATCCTTTTTGTTGCCATCAGGGGGAGCTTTTGAGATCTTTCAAGAGTAAAAAAAAAAAAAAAAAAAAAAAAAAAAAAAAAAAAAAAAAAAAAAAGAAAGGAGGGAAAAAAAGAAACGTCCCAGCTCAGAAACAGAGATCTACAAACCAGCAAGCAGCCAGGAGCTTACCTGTGGCTACAACTAAGCCAAGGAAACCAGGGGAGCTGAATTCTTTAGGCTGGAAAATTAGCAATATTGAGAGAGGATTTTTTTTTACTCAATCCATCAATAAAATTAATAATTGATTTTTTWWWAATTATTATTTCMAAAAAATAATCCAGGAGTCTTTTGGAGCACTCAAAAGCCAAATCCTCCTCTGTTGCTACAGCTTCTGGAAGGCAAATGCTCTTCAAAAAGCTTCTCTCCTTTTAGCTCCTGATGATTCGATGGGGACCTTTGATGCAACATTTGGATTAGCTGCACACAACTGCACTGAGGGGGACCACAAAAGGGGGAGCCTGGCTGATTGCATAACTTTGGGAAAATAATAAGAGGAAAAGAAGGAATTAGAAAAAGAGAGAGAGAGAGAGAGAGAGAGAGAGAGAGAGTGGGAAAGAGAGAAAGAAAGAAAGCAAGCAATTAAAAAAAAAATATCTGAGACTCAAGTTTCAAGACTCTTTATGTGCTGCAGAGGAGCATAAGGTTTACCAGCAAAGTGCAACGGGGAGTCTGAGAGGAGAAATAGCTTTCTCTTTTGCCAAGAAAAAAAAAATAGGAATGTGTGTTTTGGACTGGACTGAGAAAGAAAGCTGGGGAGACTGCAAAAAGGGGGGTGCAGGATTTTTGTCACATTGATCCATTCATCTTGATTGTCTTCTTTAAAAAAAACAAAAAAGGGAGGGGGGAAGTCGTAGGGGGAAAGAGGAAGAGAGGAAAAGAAGAGAGGAAAAGGAAAACAGCAAAAGTGTTTGAACCTCTGGAGCTATCTGCTCCTTCAAGCTGATTGATTAGTCATGATCCCTGCAGTTTTAATGGGAATCATTCAATTGGGAAGGTGGAGCACCCTAGAGTAGATTAGCATATTCTTGTTTACTCATCTTCTGAGGGGCTTTTTCTCTTTTCTTTCATTTTGTGGAGAAGAAGGGAGGGGGGGAGGTTGGGGGGAAGGAGGGGGTTGTGGCTTATGTTATAAAGGAGGCCAAGAAAATAAATAGATTAGAGCATCTTTTGGGGGGAGGGAAATCAGTGGGTCTGAGTCTTGGAGAAAGCTGGGGGGTTGTTTTGGTTTTTTGTTTTGTTTTGTGTGTGTGTGAGTGAGTGTGTGTGGTTTTTTTTAAGAAGAAAAAAATAAAGGGAAGAAAATCCAGCAGAGAAAAGAAGAGAGAGAGGAATTCCAGCTGTGGAGGAATAGAGGAGAAGAAGACAGATAGAGAAGGAAGAACAGAGAAATACATTTCAACCAAGAAGGAGTTTTGATTTATTTGATTTTTATTTGTTTTAAGGAGARAAAAAAAATCTATAAGCAGGAAAAAGAAAGAAAGAAAAAGAAAAAAAGAAAAGAAAAAGCAACTGAGAAGGGTTATAAAAAGAGCAAATACCAAGAAGGGTGAACAAGAGAAGAAAGTCAAGGCAAGGAGGAGCCCAAAGCTGGCAGATCGGGAGGATTTGCAGGGGAGAAGGGGGGGGAAGATTGGAAATGCAGCTCTGGAGTTTGCTGCTGCCTCTTGCGCTTCTCTGTACAGCCCTAGCCAGTGGACCCGAATGTGGGATGGACGAGCGCTCCCGCAGGGCACGAAGGGACACCAGGCACAGCCGCCAGCTCCTCCACACTGCCCCGGGCACCTGTGCCACCAGGTTAGCCCGAGGAAGGCGCTCCACTGCTGGGCTGGAGCCTGGGCATGTCCCCCGCAGGAGGCAACAGCGGGAGGTAAAGGACGAAGAGGAGTCCCTTACCCCGAGCAGGGCGCTCTATTTCAGTGGCCAAGGTGATCAGCTGCGGCTGAAGGCAGACATTGAGCTGCCCCGAGATGCCTTCACTTTGCAAGTGTGGCTGAAAGCCGAAGGAGGACAGAGATCTCCGGCTGTCATTGCAGGTAGGTAGCTGGCCGTGCCCGGGGCTGCAGCAGCATCCCCGTTCCGCTCCGGGAGCCGGCGGAGCAGCCGCTGTAGGCGTGCGTGTGTCCGGGAGCGGGCTGTGCACACCCAGCCCCGCGGGAGTGCCCCGCGGCACAGCGGGGATGGCAGCGCCTCTGCCAACGCGCCGGGCTCGCCTTCGCCCCGCCGCACATGCCGGGAGATCCCGGAGCTCTGCGGACCGGCTGCAAGTGTAGGCTGGCAGCAAAAGTTATGTAAACTTTTGCATAGGGGAGATGGCAGCGCCCTGGGGTGGTTTCTGTCTTTGTGGGTGCGCGGGTTGAGGTGCGGGTGGAAGAGGCAGCTCTCAACGGTGGGGTTTKGTCTGATTTTCAGGTCGGAAAACTGTAAGTAGAGCATTTGAAAGTRGCTTGTTTGTACGTATGGAAAGAAACGTATGTGACTGGCGTGTGGCTGCAAAGAAACGCGTATCTAAGGTCCCCCTACGATTTCCTTGCTTTTATTGGCTTTTTAGTGTACCCCACTGTTAGCTCTTCAGATGCAGCGTTAGCGTGTGGTTTCCAAACAGCTATAAAGGAACTTTTTGGCTATTGTGAAACCTCAAATGAATCAAATGAGTTTATAAAGTTCCCAACCCCTCGACACTCAGCTACGGCTGGGACTCGCACTGCAGCTAGAGGATGTGTGGAGTATTTTTGTCTCCCCTTAGAAATGGCAAGTGTAACATCAATGATTCTGAGGTCAAACAGCCCTATAAAATCATTTAGTACTCAAAGCGGCTACCAGTCTAAGCTGTCTGAGCTGGACAATAACAAGGAGTGTTGCACTTTTCTTATTTAAATTTTATGAGCCCATCCTGAATTTGGGTCCCTCTCCTCGCGTTCTCTGCCTCTCCCCCTCCCTCCCTCCCGCCACCTCCCGCCCTTTCCCCGCTTTAGTGATAAAGTGCAGCGAAGTTGTCGTGAAATCGGATACTTTTCGGAGGGTTACAAACCCTTATAAATGTCGCCACATCCATCTTTGCTCTGAAGGAAGTAATAGAA